CAGGTGAGACTGACACCTGTCACTCATACCAGGTGTTTTAATTGTCCTGTGTCACATAATGTTGTTATTGCCTTTAGTTATACCACATCTCATTTTATATGCAAGGTAATTTCAGTCTTTATGCAAATTAAATACAAGGCAGAAGTGGATTGATAAGTTATTAAAATACATGTATTTGGATGAACACATTTACCTGTTTTTTAACAGAGGGTGGACCTAGTAGGTTACAGTTAACAAAACATTTTCTTCACCCTGTATTGTGTGTTCCTGTAGGTGCATCTGTTTCAAGTCCTTGAGTCAGTGGAAGTGTCAGAGACACTGTCTGTGGAGAGCAGATTTGAGAGGTTCAGAATCTACACCCTCCGGTTCCAGTTCCTCCCTGCTGAGACGTACCAGAAGGACGTGTACCTGAGTCCTGCCAAGATCCTGCACTTCATGGAGCGCAAGTTCTTCCGCAGACTCCTGGACGCCCTGAAGAGGCAGGCTAAGGAGATGCAGGAACACAAGTCAGGAGAACTCTTTCTTCACTACTTAACCCCTGTCCTGCTGGCATTTTTTACACAATATTTTCAAATAATTTGATGTCTTAATCAGGTCATAGACCCTTGACTTTTTTTGCCCCGCGGCAGCGTAGTGACTTCCCCATTTGTTGCGTTTCGCTGCGGTGTGTGTGAAATACCCCCAAATCGTACATATACAGGGTGCTGTATAGACGGTACTGTATGTGCAACCCATGTATATATTTGCCCCACAGGATAAGGGTTAATAACCGCATGGCTTTGCTTTTGAGGAATAGAATGTGATTGAATCAATGTTCTGTATTTCTCATATTTTCAATTCTGCTGTAATAGATTGCAGAGTAAGATCTAACCTCCTTCATCAGAGCATATGGGGTATTTGGCATTAAGATTTTTTGTAATGTTAATATGTATTCACTACTTCAGGCTGCTAAACTCGAGAGAAAGACGTAACATCCTGGACATTGATGATGATGATGGTGATGATGATGATGAGGGAGAGCCTGATGAGCCAGTCCAAGTGACCAATAAGAAGCCTCCTACAGAGGAGGACAGCTCTGAGGAGGAGGACAATGATGGGGACGCAACAGCTGTGAAACAGAAGCAGAAGCACTCTCAGGTGCTCTTTACACCTGCTCATTTTACAGAAATTTTCATGTATATTTGTGAGATAGGTGAAATGATCTTTACACTGGGGTTACAGTCATCCTCTGGTACTATGTTTTTTTCTAATTCTAACAGTGAGGAAAGTCGTGTAAAGGTCCTTTCCCAAAGGCACAAGATCGGTGGCATGGCAGGGTTCGAACTCGGGACCTCTTGGTTCTGAGTCGAATACTCTGTTGTTACGCCACACGACCCCACATACTATATACTTTGTGTATTGTGTGGTAATGTAGTCAACATCTGTTGCAGGATGTTGTTTATTAAAGAGGCTGACTTGATTTCATATGATAATTGTATGAACAAACTCATGACCATCTGTAATATGTTTTTAAGGACCAGGACTATGATGAGAAAGGAGAGTCTGACCCAGAAGAGGAGGACAGGGAAGAGGAGGATGAAGAGGAGGAGGAGGGTGAGAAATTACCACTGGCTATCGTATACAGAATCTCCACCGTGATGACACTTTGCTCGTTTCCTCCATAGATAGAAAACAGAAGTACACAAATCTTAAGCATGATAGTGATGTGAAAACAATAAAAAAGTTAATCTTCAAAACAAGAATATTGTTGAGTATTGAAAGAGATTATTGTTCATAGATGAAACAGGGAACAAGCCTTCTCCTAAAAGCCCCAGCCCTGAAACAGGGGAGGAGGAGAAGGCGGAAGAAGACAGACCTGAGACACCTGCAACTCCTACTGATGAGAAGATGAAGAAGAAAAAGAAGAAGAAACGGAAGGAGAGAGAAGCTGTACAGGATGAAATCAGAATCAATGTAAGTCCAAGTTTTTATTGTCCTTGTGACTAGATAATTTTCTTCACTAATTGAAAGCTTTCTTAATGTGTATTTTCTTTGATGTGATTCATTTGATTTTGTCCAGTCAGTATTTTTGAACTACATGGTTGGAAATCTGTCTGGTCTGGTCTGAGTAGGGATTTTAGGATGGGAATACATTGTACATTTATTATTTGTTCTACAGGCTGTGCTGGCAATGAGCCCACAGATTTCTGGGTACAGTTATGATGCACAAGATGAGGAGTGGTGTGAGATCAAACTACAGGTGAGGAATCATTCCATTGCTATTTTGCAACTATCAAGAATTCTAGATATTTCAATATATGTACAATTCAATATTACCTAGGACATACTAATCAACAAAGATATAAGAGCTGCATAAATTATTTAAAAGCACAACAGTTAGTTTGATAAGGAATAGGTGGAGAGTATTCAGTACAATTTGAAACTGACTCTGTATTCTGTAATGAAAAGTAAGGAACTGCTTGTATGTTGTCAGCTGGACATTGTTGGCAGCAAGTTTGACATGACGTCCCTGGTGGAGAGGGAAGCTCACAAAGCCGTGGTTCATCAGACACCCGGGATCACCCGCTGTTTCCTGTCTGACAGTAAACTGCCCGGGGAGGAGGGAGTCATCAGGCTCAAAACAGAGGGGGTCAACTTACAGGTAGGCTGTGTGGGGAAGGAGGGTGTTACTTGCTCTAATAGTATTTCATGATAATGCTTTTCTTTCAACATGTTTCTAGAATGATAGTAGGATTTGATAGAATTGTAGTCTAAGCATGTGATTTTTTTACAGGAACTGTTCAAGTATGACAGAGTGTTTGACCTGAACAAACTGTGCTCCAATCACATCCATGCGATGGCCAACACCTACGGTATTGAAGCCGCCTGTCGGATTATAGTCAAGGTTTGTAATCTTTAAGGTTTTTTCATCAGATAGCATCTTCATTCAATGAACTGCTTTGCAAGTTACTACATCTACCAAAATGGCTTGTTCTACCCTCCATTGTAACATATCTACCCCACTCTGTGTCATTCATATCCTTGTTTAAGTGATATTTATGTTTACCGAAGGAAAACATTGTTTTTGCTCTGTTTCTTCTTCCGTTCCAAACACTGACCTGATCAATGACCTGAACCAGACCATCTGTCACCATGGTAACTGGTGTTGGGTTACATAATGTTGCAATTTCTATAGCAGGAGGGATTTAGACTCTTGTCACCATATATGTGAATGTGTTTCAGTAAGAAGTAACAGAGCAGATCATATGCGAATGAGATCCTAAACAAACAAACAAACAAACAAATGTTACATTTCTAGTTGTAAACTCTTTTTTACTTAATATATCTGCCAAGGGCTCGATGTTCATTTGTGTCATCTCTGTCTGAGTAGGAGATCAAGGAAGTGTTTGCGGTGTACGGGATTGAGGTGGATCCCCGTCACCTGTCACTCGTGGCAGACTACATGACATACGAGGGGGTGTACAAACCCTTCAACAGGACAGGCATACAGTCCAACGCCTCCCCCTTCCAACAGATGAGCTTTGAGACATCCATGCAGTTTCTAAAGGAGGCAACCATCAGTGGTAAGTTGTTAAACAAAAATAATCCTTGCTCTGTTATCAAAGGCCTTTTGAAGATCTGTGAGATTCATTTATTGTACATGTATGATATGTATTTTGTAAGAGGCTGTTTTTTTCTTGAATGTATGACAAAAACACCTAGATGACAAATGGTAGAATAGTCTAGATCAGTTTAGATGTTCTCTAATTAATAATTAATGTCTACATTTCTTGTGTTTTGCAGGTGCCAAAGATGACTTAAAGTCCCCTTCAGCAAGACTGGTTACTGGGAGACCAGTCATGGGAGGGACTGGCTGCTTTGAACTCCTACAGCCTTTAGTTTAACTTATGTTAACTCTCGTTAACAAATTTACGGTTTAAATGGGCCCATGCAAATAACATCATCTGAGTACCATTGTCAGTACGACTCATCCTTTTATCATAAAGGCGAATACAAAATTCATGAAGTACTGTACATTGAAGCATTTACAAAGTTAACTCTCCAATACAGCATGTAATTCATTCTGTAAACAAGTACAAAATGTAAGTGATGCTTCAGGACATTATATTTAAAACAAAAGTGCCTTTTCTAATATTTGATACATTTTATTATAATGTATTCAATATACACATTAACCAATGATAGTTAAGTCTATAAACAGACATTTTCTTCAATCAAACTCACAAAGCCTTTGTTATTCTCAGAAGGATTCTCCTTTAACCTGTTCACATTTGACAGGGCCTTTTATTATAAATAGTAGGTTGATGAAGCTTCAAATAAAACTATTCAAAATGATAAGCAAAATATACATTTTATACCAATAACAAAGAGACAGTTTGTGCATAACAAAGAGCTAGTTTTCTGCTGGCAAAGAGCTTTTTTTACATAATTTTAATACATTGTGGGTGTAAATTTCAAGACCAATATATCTCTGTGCTAAGCAGGAGGTAGAGGATCCCCACCATGCCACCCTCCCTGCAGTTCCAAACGGTTAGAACTTGACTGTAAAGATGAGATGTGGCCTTCCTGATACAGGTGTGACACGTACTCATGGTCACTGCAGTACTTCTGCACTTCTCCACACAACAGACAGAAGGGTGGGGAATGGATACCTGAAGACACACGTAACTTCCTGGACAGCTTCACATAGAACAAATCCGGCTTTTTCCTCAGAGGAGGGGTCTTTCTTTGGTCAGTTGATATGTGAAATTTTAAGCTTCTATCACGCAATAATGTCCAGTAGCACATGTGGGACGTCTTCAGCCAAGTACAGAGTGCAGAGTCAATCTGAAATTGCGTGTTCCACGGGCTACCCTCCACAGTAGTTGGTAATTTATCTTTAGGAGAAGTACAGTGTGTCCTAACTTTGTTTTCAACAACTCTGAAGTGATCTAACTCCTGTGTGAAGTCGCTGCCTTCCTTTTGGATCTTTTCCCACAATGTCCTATTGAAATGTTCGTACAGGGCGTAGTCTACTGAGTCCCACCGTTTGTGTTTGTCCACGAGGCCCGGTGGAACGGTAACGTTGCCGTACTCGTAACTGTTATATTTGAGGTACAAAATGTCCCTCAGGTCCCAACACATCAACCGCCTCAGCAACACCAGCGACTCCTCGAAGTACTCCATGACCATCACTAAGTCCAACTCTCGCGAGAGGCTTTGGAGAAAGTTCTTGATGTCTTCAGAACTCGGATTTGCTGTGGTATTTTGTAACTTGTGGACAGGAAACCCGAGCTCGAGAGCCATGGGGTTTCTCGTGAAGGAAACAGGCCGACCAGGGGATTTGGTGTTAAACGTGGTGTCATACCGCCCGGGGTTTGCTAGGAACGTTAGCATTGCCTCCATGTCTGTACTCTCATAGTCATCCATAAGTCTGGAGAGTCTGTAGAAACTAAATGTGGATTTCAGATGACTTAGAGGTTCCCGTATGATTGTGAAAAACGTTGAATTTTCCGAAAGGTGTTTTGTGATAGCCGGCCTGTTGTAGACGGTGTGGTGGGTTAGGATGCCGTGGCCGTGCTGTATTGGAGGGAGATACAGTTTCGGGTTGAACAGTCCGTATGGGTACAGGTTGTTGATGTCGGTCTGCGGAAGGAGGAACGAGCTGTTGCGAAGGTAGCCCAGACGGTGGAGTATCTGCATCACAGTCGTGCCACCTGTTTTGTGGGTCTTGATGAACGCAATGTCGGTCTTCGGCTCACACTTGGCGTCTTGTTCCTTGGCACTGAAAATAAGGAAGAACAATGCAGTCAGAGATGGCAGACTTCACCCCCTTACCCATACTGCTTTGTGACCCTTTCTGCCCCATAGCGTATTGCTGCTCACGGAAACACAAACACACATGCAGACTGGCAGACAAGCCAAAATAATACTCGAGTACCCTGCGATGAATTTAACACACAAAAAAACACCACTGTGGTCTATGGTCTTTTCATGACCAACTACCGTGACCTGGATCTTTTCAGGGGAGCACCTTGCAGTGACTGCACCATAGTGTTCAATTGTTCTTTCATAAAACCCCACCACACACTTTCTAAGGCTGGCAGAGAGTGGCAAATTACATTTATTGTATAGTAGGCACAAATTACCCTCGTGCTGTTCAAATAACCACACAGATGTACGTACGTACCGTTTCAGACTAGCACGGTTCTTCCAGCTTCCAATGCGTCCAGCCTGCGTTGTGCCATCAGCACCTCCGCTGATATGAGAACCCCATGTGTACAGTAGAACCGTCGGGAGGAGACAGGTTACCAGCAAGAAAAGGCCAAGCCAGCGAACAGTATTTTTTCGACGCTTCGCCATTCCTTCTAGTTCTCCGCACCGATGGAATCTGTAAACATAAGAAGAGAAGCTTCCACAATGGCTTAGATGCCAGATTTTAATTATTTTATAACTCAACATTCGTCTTTTGGAACCTATGCAACGGTTGTAGCATAGATCAGGGTAAGAATACTGGCTGAGCAATCATCCAACCTGCTAGGCGGTACATGAATTTCCCATCATGGGGAAGTGCTTTAAACCGTACACGACAATACAATAATGTTTTGATAGGACGGGTTTGGCGTAGACGAACGTCTGGCGACAATTTCTGAGGAGCAGTCGCCCAATGTTAAGATGATGGAGAGTAATGAAGTTCTTCAGCATACACCCTTTCTAGCTACTAGTATAGCAAACTCCATTGTCACTAGCTCGCCCCTCCCCCCTTCTTCCAAGCCAAGTTGAAGTGCACCGAAAGTCCTCCAATTGACCAACGATTTCACAAGACTCACAAATAGGTGTCAGATCTCTAGGTGGATATCACACAAACAGAATGTCCAGGGAACATGTACATGTACCTACCGTGGTTGTTTTCGGTGCCTTAAGCTTGCAGCTCCTGTCGCGTCGACGGCCAGGACTATATGCCATACCAGCTCGCTGCATACCGTGCCGTTAAAGTTCGTACCTGAAGCGTGCAGGTGGATCAGGAGAACTCCGGCATTGTAATCCTATCATCTGTACGATGCACTGTAAACATGGGCTGTATTTCTTCACCACGGGTCAACTCTGCCACCGTCGCCACAGGAGCCTTCAATGTTTCATTTGTCTCACCCAAAGTGAAACGTTACATTGCGTCATTCCTATTTACTCACATAATGTACGGTGAATACTTTTGTGCTAGTAGACTGTAGCTATACAGTTGCGATAATAGTACTGGGCCTACTACCGGCGTTTTGATGCGAAGGCTGAAACGTGCACATTTGACTTATATATTATTGGTAAAAGGCGCATTTGATTTGGGATGAACAAACTGTTATAGTAGCAAGCCTAAAGCTATCCTTTGTTGACATTCACCGACTTACCTGTCTGCAGTTTTGCGTTTACATTGCTATTTACACCACATACCGTGAGCCTGAATCCATATTGAAACACAGGCCGAAAAGGTTGGCATAGTCCCTTTTCGACGATCTTTTCATAGCCTCCCTGAAAATCGTGCCACAACAAGTAATACGCATGTGACTGCGCCTTAAAAGTACACATTGTCAAGTGGAATCCATTGGTAAATGTGGATGGTGTTTTTAAACGTAATAACTACGTGTACATCTCTCTAAAGCTGTTGCTATGAGCCAAGGCGAAATGGCAATATGTTGAGGCAAGCGGATCATATACCCTCCGCCGGCAAAAGAACGCGATAAGAATTTTACAAAACGCAGTATCAAAACTCCCACCCGCACGGAGGCCTGCACAGGAGGCTACGGAATATACGAAAGTTCGCGAGCGGCAGCTAGCTATAACTTTGATTATAGGAGTACGGGTTACGGTAACATCAATTCGGGCGCAAAAAATCCTCGCACTTCGTTAGCTTAGGTTTACGTGAGATCATTTTTTTCTGTGTCGTGTCGCACCTGACAACATGAACACAACAGTGAGAGCTTTTTATTCAATGGAATATTTCCATCGTTAGCGAAGCGAAAAGAACATCTCATTACTATGCATAGAACCTTGTCGACTTGTATTAAAAAGCACAACCGGTTACGTACAGCCGAGAAGATTGTTGTGTGAGCGTACAGCGGTGTAAGTAAGCATGAATATGTATCGTCATACAGCCGCGGAGCAGCCGTGAAATCCGCCTTATCAGCCCGTGGCAGCCGCACGCGCGCGGGCTCCATGTAGACCATTCTTCCGTCTCCGCCCAGAGACCCGCGGTTTTGTTATCGCACACGAACACATGTTGTGGTTTACGCGCTTCGCGGAAATAAATTACTCAGCGTTAACCGGGGAACCTGCGCTAAGTAGTCAGTACATGTAGTAAGTAGGAATGAGGTGGTTTTCTCTTCAGGTTTGAGGGTGTTTGGAGAGAGGGGACTACATGCTTTTCTCGCTCTAACCGAGACAACCTTCAGTAAGTCTGTTGTCAGGAAAAGTTAAATTTCTCTACGTACAGACTTTCACAGATCTAATCATGTTTTGTTATTGTTGCAATATTTTGACTCGTTGCAATATGCAATTTTATGAGCTCAGAAGGAAGAAATAAATTCTGAATTATGGTTGATTTCTTTGAAACGAAGAAAATATACTAGTACTTTATGAAAAACTTAAACTGTTCTCCAACTCAAAATTTGACTCACCAGAAATTTTCGACTGAATCACTCAGTCTTCCTCAGCTATCTGAGGTTTTATATTAAGTTTTCCATAATGTAATTTACCAACTCAGATGAACTTTCATGCTGATATACTAGTACTTAACCAATCTTAAACTGGTGGGTGCGTATGAAACAAAGCCTAAATTTATAAGGGCCTTGCCCTGTATTAATACAAGGCTTTCCCATACTTGATGACACGAAATTGAAGAAGATGAATATTGAGGCATACACAAGTCTGCATAAATTTGCATATTCAATGTGTTTGAATGCACATAGAGGATACCTTACAGGCTCATGAGGTTAGATGTTATAAAACCAACAGTCACACTGCGCTAGTGCCTGTTACGAAAACATGGGAAGCTTCTATAACAACACGATGGCAAAGCATCCAATACCATTCTATGTTGTCTCAGAAATTCACAGATATTTGTCACTACGAGCACTTTCCTTACGCGTTGGAAGAATACACTCTGTCACTTAAACTTTACATACAACCTTACAACCTAACTTGTTCCCATTTCCCATCCCTTGTAAATAGATTTTAAAACTTGCTGCACGACGTGCCTGTCGGTACAGGAGGACCTACGGTCTTGTTTCATCCACGTAAACCCGGAATGCAAACCTGTGCGACGTTTACGTCCACACATGAGGCCCTTATCAGTGTCCAACGTTCCACCTGTTCAGCGCCGAGTTCGATCTGCGCGCATCCCCCAGACCGTCCCTCCATTGTTCCCGCCTTATCAGCGGCGCACAGGCGTCCGTGGCCGATCGGTTTTCCTGGCGGTCGGTGATGGGAGGGAGCACTGTGCATGCTAATGTCGCCCAACCGTCCCCGGGAACGGTGGGGTGTGATGGAGGGAGCCCCCGATAGCTTACCGGAATTATAGTGCCCAGGGGTCTGAGGTGGCACCGCGCTGTAAAGTTTCACATTTGGAATATTGAAAGAATGGTACTACATCAACACAGGGGTGAAGTGAAAACTGTTTATACTTATTCTATGCTGAGGAAAAAATGTCGGATGCTCTTGGTCAACACAAATTAAGTCTAGACGGTTGGTATCTTGGTCATTGATGACCCAAATGTCTCTTCCCAAAAGTAATCATTAGCATCGGGTATAATAAGTAATGGTAGACGGTCAAAAAGGGCGTAAAAGATAAAATAGGTGTCTGATTGCGTAATGCGTTCTTTATGTTTATTTTTCAAACCTTATCATGTAATGGCTGTCGCTGCCTCAAAACATTCTTTATTGTTTGATTTGTTTATATTTGTGTGTGTATATGTGTATGTGTCTAAGAAAACAAGCAAACAAACACACAATCTTTTTAAAAAATGGCATATGTTTTATGGTGTATGCGGTTGAAACTCCTCAAGCATCTGAGGAAAAGCTATGATTAGCCTCAAAATCCGGCATCCACCTGATCAACTCTTCGGGGCTTGCGACAAACAGAATTTTATTCTTTTGTTTGTTTCCATCTCATGTGTTCGCTCTGAATAAAGACGTGTGCGCATGTAGAAATTGTCTACGTCATGATATGACGTGACAGTGATTGTGTGGTTCACGTGAATCGAATTCTGATTAGACCGAAGGAAGAAAGCTAAAGCCAAGAAAGGGCTTGTCCAACAAAAGATCGTCACAACGCGAACAGGTTAGATGGCGATGGTGATGAAGAAAGTCACTTTTATGCAGGCGATGTGCATCAATCGTTACAAACGCGTCCCAGGCGCAAGAGCCGTATTTCTCAGTGTCGTGATGGCCTGAAGATTGAACACCGCTTCTTGTAGGAAACCACCGACAGTCCAGATCAACTCCTGTCTGACATTGTTGGACCAGTGTCACGGAGACGGCAGGAATTGAAGCTGTTGACGTCATACCTGGATAGGGTTCCATCCGGCGAGCCGACGCAGACGTCAGCCGGGCCTCGGTCGCTCACGCCACCCGACCCCGCTCCTACTGGACTTCCGCCAGACCTGGGCACGGCTTTAGAACCTACATCACCCGGCCGTTTGTTTACTGACGTCTGGTGCGGGCAGTCTTCAAGATAACAAGGTATCTCTAGCGTTCATATTGGAAACTATTCATCCAGCAGTAACCAACCATAAAACCAACCGGCAGCAGGGCCGACGATAACGTTCTGTCCAAGCGAGTGTCTCACTCTTAGATAATCCTACAATGTTGAAGGCCAAAGTCAGTTCGACTTGTTTGGTGTCTAAATGTATGTACACAGCTATACTTTATTGAGATCAGTGGGCATAATATTCCTTCGAAATTATAAAGCTATTATAAATACAAAAAAATCAATCGAAATAAATGTGATATTCCATTCATTTTGATGTTTATTTATTTCTATTTCATTTTGTGACAGGCGTTTTCGCATTATGGAAATAAATTTCTCCAGAAACTGGTTTGTTGTGGAGTAGCTAGCAAGTGAACGGGAAACACTTCAAAACACATCCTTGGCGAGCTCGGCAAGGTACAGCAGTTAGAGGCGGGTGGGGCAAATGGCCATAGGAGAAATTTTCAACCACTTCAAACGACAACTATGGATATCAACATGACTACGATAAAAACGAGATATGAAGCGTTGAGCCCAAGGAAAACGGAGCATCAGAAATGCCATAACGTTCATTGTGTAATCACAGTACAATCGGCATTTTCCTGTTTGGTACAAAGCCCTCAACTACAAAACTGTCACAGACGCATAAAGAGTGACCCGATGCTTGACTTTTTCCTCAGACATCGTTTAAGTCATTTCAACTTCATGGAAACAAAATTGACTCTGAAATTATCAATATCAACTCCGATGATAATATAACCAACACCACATAGAATGTTAGTAAGAATAGGTATACCTAATTCCAATTGGGTGTGTGAGGAGAACTGCGCACATAAGACAAAAACAGTAATCAAAACATTCGCATATTGCTCGGTATGTAGAAGTATATCTTAAGCTAAATGCATTTAGTATATGAAAATAACGACCAAAATACAACATCAAAGTACTTGGTTTATGAACTGGTCGAAAATGCAGACGTGGAGATATGAATATAAAAATGTTTAGATTGTATGGTATACAGATATACGAGCACAGTGGTGCAACACAAAGCGAATATGTAGAAGAATCCTGCCATGTATACCGTATCTGCACAATGCTACAACATGTCCATATCATTTTGGTAATAACTTCCTTTGTCTATTTTTAAGCTCTTGCATACATGTACATAACTCTACTGGAATACTAGTTTCGTGTAGGTTATGATAATATTTTGCAGAACAATTTTCTCTCACAAACGGCATGGTGGTGAAACACGAATGTCGTCATACCATATTTCATATCGTATTGCATATGTGACTAAGACCAAATTTAAGGAGACATATATTGACAGATCAACACGTTTTCTTGGAATATGTCTAGGTGCATAATGAAGAATTTTAGACACTCTTCACTCGCACGTAACACACGTCAAACCCATAGATTCTTCTGGAAAAATATGGCTCGCTTTCGTGTTTTATTCGATGTGCATTGTTACATTTTCGCACACGGGCATCTCAATACGATTTCCAATACCTGCTCCTTTGTGGCTGTAAGCGGGCATTTCAGGATTGTGGTCTTTATTCCTTGTACGTCTGAAGACGTCAAAAACGATTTCACCCCAGGTAACAAATTCCTCTATTTTCGACATCTACTACAGCAACAGATTAATAGCATTTGTTTCAAGTATAGCGACTATAGCGGCGACTTTCAATACACATTTCATCGGGCATGAAACTGAATCCAACATCCATGTACTGTACTACATTGTTGTTGTTTTCATATGAAGTATTAACAAATTCGCATACATGGGACCTCGGAAAGGAAAACAATTTAGTACCGTAGCAACTTCATATCTGTCACAATACACAGGCTACAGGAGGATACTAGTAACAGTTATATTGCGAGTATTGTCGCATCACAATGCGGTTGAAGCGAAAATATAATGAAAACGAAAATTTGATAAAACTGAAAACCCGTGCGGGCCTAGCAAAACCATCTCCCCATGAGACGTAAAATTGTGTAGAGATGACTATGTGGTTGTATGATAGATGGTGTCGTGCCGGCGGTTGTGTGTTGCAGGTGGACGGAGCGCTGTGAGAGAGAGCTCAGCTGCGTCAGCGTACGTCCGGCCGTCGTGACCGGCCCGCCTCCAGCCCGGCCTATCGGGAGGCGGATATGGAACCTGCGGAAGTAGAGGTGCACTCTCCCGCCAGCGTGCAGCCGAGCCCCGGGGATCAGATAAACCAGGAGAAAGAACAAAGACTAGGAGATTTAAAGGAAACTGCGAGTCCGACAAATATCAGTTTGTCAAGAGGACTGGACAGCAGCAGCATCCCTTCCGTGGAGCGGCCGGACAGTGTGAGTACGCCGGGACACAGCTCCCGTGACTGGACAGCGGACGGAGAAGGGCCAGGTAAAACTAACCGGGAAGACGCTAAAAACCGAACGGCTGTCACGGGCATCTCTGCCGAGGACGGCAGGGACAAAGACAAGGCGCGGGAAGGAGAGAAAAGTGACGAGGCGACAGGTATGTTCAACCTATTGTGTGATTCTACTTGTTACTTGTATTTGCGAAAAAAAATGATACGTAACTCAACGTACATCAAGAAAAGACAACGAATGCAAAATGCGACACTGTATTTAGAATGTAGGCTATTTCATACTTATTTCTTTTTGAAGGATTGGGAGCCTGATGATGAGATTCCGCAATAAAACAATGATGGAAATACCCCATCCTTAGTAATATTTTTGTCCACATATATATTGATTGTAGTAATTCATTGTAGTATTATTAAATTGCAAATTGACGAGAACAAGCTAATGTAACACATATGGCTGTGCCGGCGGAACAACGTACTATATCTTTTAGGTGACTATCAAAAGACACAGTACTAGTTGTTGTAATGTTACAGTTATTTCAAACAATGTCTTCAGACTAATATTGTCTGTAACATTGCGGCGCCTTCTCTGCCGTGTGCCAGGTAGAGGGGTAACATTGTACTGCTATAATGGCAAGGTGCATCTTGTGGTAACGCACATGTATATCCACACGTGTGGTTTTTACCGGGAAGAGAGAGAACAAAAGTCCCGACCAACTGTACAGATTCTCCCGCCCTTCAAACAAAGGGGATGTCATGTTTAACAGTTAAGGTCAGCCTGGATAACAAGGCGGCCTCGTGACCGATCCCAGTGGGACGGTGATTAGAACAATATGACTATAAACCGAGCCGCCATCTTCAATTTGTAATTGTTTGGCGCTCGGGCAGTCAGCTGGCATGAGTTTCCAGGTTTCCCTGGCTGTCAGTGGTTTTATAGTGAATTGCTGCTGTTCAGTATCCCTGTACTCTGGACAAAGAAAGGCTTGCCAACTTTTAGGCGATCTATTTTCTCAGACAATATACTATTTTCTTTGCTACGATACTAATTTCGTGGAACTAGGAAATAATTAGTTTAAAGAACCGAGCCATCTGTTTATAGAATTAACAAATCTCGAACATTTGTGTGGACATCTTTATCTACGGCCAATACAAAACTAGTTTTCAAAAGTAAAGCGATTATCTGTGGTCTAATGACCATCATCCATCCTCCACATCCAGACTTTCTATTTCATCATTAGGCCAAAATCTGTACCCTTGGCCAGTTATCACATAAATATTTTGAAAAAGCTGAGAATATACGTCTTTTCTTCTCTCCTTTTGGTCGAATTGTTTGGTTTGGCTTTTGTGTATGCTATCCACCCTGTACGTCATATTGCGTTACTTAATAAGTATGTTTAGTTCATATTAGTTCTTATCTAATATAATAATATTTATCATATGTTGTTAATATCATGTGTACTATTGATCAATTACTATCATAATAATGTATCATACAATTTATGTTGTCGGGGGAAGATCGCGGACAGGTCATAACATATCTTCCTCCCGCATATCTCTCTTATGTTATGTTTTCTTTGATTACTAGTATATGGCAATAAACAAACAAACAAACAAACAAACAAACAAACAAACAATAAAGCTTTCCCCAAGCTGAACGCTATCGGCAACAATTTAACTACAAATGTATGTTCATGATGGATATATTGGGATTGTAATGTAATGATTGTATCTTAGTATGCACCTTTTATTTTCTGCAGGTACCGTGTACGAGAACTACCGCCAAGCACAGGAGACTCTGTACGGCAGCCACTGTCCGTCCCCGGAGACTCTGTACGAGCCAAAACGTCCCCCTCGCGGCCAGGAGACGTACTACAGCGGTGTCTACCCAGCTCCACAGGTCAGAAAACAATTCTATTGGCACATATGCACTGCTACTATGATCATGATGTGAGTAATCTACACGAAAGCATTTCAACGATGCCATAGTTTATGTCAGAGCATGAGCCATAAAATATAATACACGATTTCAATTTGCTTTACGGGTAAACTTAGTTACTAGTACCTAA